TTTTACCTTTCTAATCTGTAATGCAGTATGGCTTAATGTCGACATATTGCGGATAGGTAATAAGTTATAATTTTTCTCTTTTGTACAGGAAATTGAGATGAGAATGACAACGCTATTATTGAAGGGAAGCAAATGAAAGCAACTGAACATTGCTGCTTTAGTAAAAACAATTGTTCAGAAGCCGGATAGTTTAACGTCTGGCAAATGCAGAGTAGAAACAACACACGTTTAACTACAAGATTTGAAAAATAGGGGGTGTAAATAATAGTCCATCATCAGGTAGATTAATGTCAACTATTGAGCCAGAGAAGGAGCTCAGACCTAGTTTTTTTGCCCATACACATGTAGCGGTTTAACTCCGGTTTTTTTATCTAAAAGCCGACGTAGCCATCACACAGCCCGTGACAGATTTGACTTTACACCTACGGTACCTTTCTCTCTTGAACGGGCCACCGAAGAATCAGCTACTCTAGTTGTGTGCAGACATTGATTATGTTCCTGAATAGCCGAATCTAAGTACAGATCTCAGCCGGAACTCCGAGGGTTGACCCTGAACCAAAGTTGCTCCCGAATGTTGTATCCCAACCGAAGGCTGCCCCCCCCAGGGTATTACTTTTGTAATCAGTCTGCCCTGATATCCTTTCTGTACTACAGCTCTAAATCTCATATTATTTTATTTAATATATTTTAAAATATTTTGTTCCAGTCTGGACAATTATTGAATTTTTACTCATAATATTTTGACTTATATTTCGTAATACATAATGTTAAAATTTAATAAAAAAAAGTGTAAGATAAAGAGGAAAAATGATGTACTTTTCCAATCAATCTGCTCACTTATGACGTGCTTGTTACAACTATGAGACTAATAACACGCTTAAAAACCTCTTATTTCTGGAGTGGAAAAATGTTCTTTTTTCTAATGTAATGCCAACAAAACATTTTGCTTAACTATTTCCCGACTACATATGGGGCCGGTTTTAGTTAATTTTTAGGCTAATTGGTACACGCTATTCAACATTTTTATGAATGTATATTTACTACTTGCAAATACTAGCTACTTTAAGGATTTGAACACATATATTTATTTGCTTATGTATTTCCTTTACTTTTATATCATTTTACGGATTTAGGTACACTAAAGAAAAATTCAATATGTAATTGAATATAAACAAAAGAATTAGAAAAGTATTCGTTTTCATTTTATTATATCAACAGCAAAATATTTTTACTTCCTTGTACAAAATAAAGGAAGTATTGAAATCGGCGACAATTTCGGCTATCATATTTTACTGAAAATATCCATCTTGACCGCTATCAAATGCAATTTAATGATGATTTTGCTTGACATCGCTACGTAAGGGCAGAATTAAGGATTATTTTTCCCAAAATGGATTTAAAATGTATTCAGAAGAGATTTTGTTCCTGACGCCTGTACGTACGTATATATGTATGGAACTCGCATATAACTCAAAACCGAGTAATCTCAGAAAGTTAAAATTTTGTACATAGGTTCCCTATAACATGTAGCTGTGCATCTTCCTTTTTGGATGCAATCGATCGCACCAAAAGTATATATATTTATTATATATAACTCTCTGTTACTGTAGGTGATCTCAGTTTCTTATTCTTATAAGCTGGTAAATTGTACATTTTTTGCTTTAAAAGTTGTTAAATTTTTTGCTTTAAAAGCTGTAAGGATTATGTTAATTTATTAACAGTTAAATTTTGAGTTAAACTTCCTTTCCTATCGCTTCTTAATTTCAATTTACCAGTAGTTTTAGAATCACGTTTGAATGCAAATATAAGAAGAGAGTTATTTATCCTCGAAGTTCTACTGTCTTTGTCAGAAAGAACCAAGGATTCTGGTTATCACGCGTCCACCTTTTTAGGCTACTCTCTCTTAAGCTATTATTAGGCTCGGCCGCACTTTAGGCCCTTACTAGCTTTGCAGTCAATTAGCATTAAGGGGCCAACTCCATTAGAATCTTGATAGCTTCGGCTATATCTTTTTAGTTAAGATTGATCAGTTAAGTTTTAATTCTTAGGAATCTAAGAATCCCGAGTGTCGGCTTTATTGTAAAACTCCAAAACGGAGTTCTATTAAATCTTGTTTGAATAATAAAGGGTCTTTTAACCCTTTCCTAGTTTTAAATACTGTCTCACGAAATCAAGCGATTATTCGCTTACTAGTTCTTAAGATTCTTCACATTCAACTGTAACTTAAATCACACAATAGCGAATCTTACAAAGTGATTGAATTATGTTGTTCTTATGTTCCGGTTAAGATTTTTATGTCTTTAGTTAATTTGCATGTTATAGCAGTAGAATTACCAACAATTTAAAAATTGTTTAAATGCGTCTAAGAATAGCAGAGCAGCCATACTTGCTTACAATTTAAACTTAGTAGAATAAAGAATTAAGTCAGTTTCTGCACCTACACTGTCTTTTTGCCTTTTGTACACCGAAAAATTTGCCTTTCTGCACGTTGGACGGTCCCGCTGACCGAAATGCTTGTTTTTTGAGTTGAAACTCGGTTTTTTACTTGTTTTAACAGTATTTGGTATTTTATGGTTTTCTATATCTTTCAATTTTTAATGATGATATTTTGAATTTTTATGTATTTTTGCCTGGCTGCGAAGTGAGAATTGAATTAAATGAATGAGAAATGCATCTCTTATGAAATTCGAGGAAATAAGTTTAAATGAAATGCAGGAAAAGTGTATATATTTTAATAGGCCGTACAAGGAAGTCATGAGGTGTCCACATAATTTTTTTTTTTTTTTCATTCAGAATTTTAAACGAAATGTTAGAATTTTTCTTCTTTCTCACTTTTATTGTCCAGCATCCTTCAAACCCATATGAGATGATACGATTTCCCGTTTCGCATTTCTCTTAAATTTGTATTATGAAATTATGATACTCAATAAGTCCACAAACCATTCACATCATGGTTTGTAAACTTACTGAGGTTTCATAATTTCATCCTACCATTCAACAGAAAACTAAAATTTAGATATTTAGAAATAAAATTTAGAAATTGTGAATTTTATTGTCTAATTATTAGTGCATAATCATATGCTTGTAAGATAATTACATTACATAAGAAGCGTTGATGTGGATAGTAAAATAGATAACATTTGCTTTTAAATATTTTGAAATTTTCATTGCGTAATGACATAATTTGGTAAGTATTGGTAACGGAATATTTAAAAAATGAAAACAATTGCTTTTATTGGTAGAGTAGAAAATGTTATTTACAAGAAAGGCAATTTTTCTGATCTGCGGTTTAGACCATACTACGGAGTGGGCGATTAATCAACCACAAATATATGAAATAGGGTACCCATCTCAAACTTTGGACATACCCTCCGGGGTTGCGTACATTGGCTTCGTATTTTATTACTAGAGTTGCGCTGTGGGGACATAATTACACGAAACCGTCTCCTACGGCCGAAACACGCTGTCCATGCTAACCTGGCCGGTCGTGGATTAGGCTTTCCGTGTGGGCTAGTGTGACCGCCAGAATTGTGGGTCATCAGTAGACCTCCCCACCCTTTGTGGTCTCCGTCGTAACCCTGCGTTGGCGGTTCAGAGAGAGTTCAATTTTTAAAATTGCGCCGCAGGGCTGTGGAATCGCATTGTATGCTGTTTATGACAGCGACACGAGGACTCCGTCTTGGGCGCTTTTCGGCAATTTTCCAAACTCCCGCCAATTACAGAGATGTAGAGTACGTCCGTGTAGTGGCTAGAAAATTCAGAGATGGCGGAGCACATAACTTATATAGACTAACCTTATGAAGACTAAGGCACAGGAACATGTTTAATACTTTGTAAAATTTAATTAATGATTTGGAGTCCTATCGGAGTGCTGGGCATTTTGTTATTCAGATTTCTGCGACTTCAACTGTCAACCCCTGAGACGAATGAAAAAAGCGAAACTTGAGTTAGAAAATTTGAATGGGAATTAATGTAAAATAGCATTCCTTTGACTTCATCAAATATTTTACGCGTAGAAATTACAAATAGTACTCTTTCCAGCAGTAAATAATAAAACTTTATAGAATTTTCGTATTTATCACTCAAAATTTATGTATTTATAAATTTATATCCTTATATTTATATATTTATATAATTTTATGCATTTATAAGTTTATATTTATATAGTTAATAATTTATATAGTTTATACATTTACATTTATATGTTTATATTTTTGTATATTTATAAATTTATTTATGAGCTTATAAATTTATTAATTTATATTTCTATATTTATAATTAATTATATATATTTGTAATATTATTTATATTATCAAATGACTTAAAATAATAAATAACTTGATGATCAACGTCAAAGATGGGAATGAATAAATTAAAGCAAATTGAAATAATATTCATTAATAAGAATGAGATTTGTTAATAATAGTCATAATTACTAAGATACTAGTAGTAGATTACTAGTCTGAATTCACCAACAATATTATCTACTAAATATCCATCCACAATAAATAATGAGGTGTTAATTCTCAGTCCTACATCCGCCACAAAGAAGTGTTTCATTCTTTACAAATCAATGATTTTTATCAGTAGCCTAAATCTTCAAAAATGGTGATTTTGTATCAATCGATTTTAGTTTGCTATTATTACTGCGCCACTCAGTTTTCCAAATTTTATTGTGGAAAATGATATTACTTTTATATGAAGATTACTTTTTAATCCTCGAAATATTGTTATTATGTTTATTCATAACTTTATTCAATACGCTATATTTTTACATGCAACTAAGCGCAGTCCGTGTAATCAACACAAGACGCACAATGCTTTTATATTTTTCGTCAGGTAAAAAAGCTATTTTGAATAATATAATGAAATGCATATTTGTGTAAAACAAACCTTTAAGATTATTAGCTATTAGGTAACAAAAATAGAAATAAAAAAAAACTTTAAAAATATCTTTTCGTTTCTTCAAAAGGAATGGCACAACAATTCAATTTACTTACTTCGACTCTCATTTCCAGATCTTTCACTTTTCATCACTTGTGAATTGAATCCTATATGTTTGAACCCAACACTATGATTTTTCAGTTTATCACAATAAATTCCATTCACAAATGCAGTGAAGAAAACTATCAATGAAATATATTTTCCATAATTATGTCTCATATTTAAATGAGAAAAATCACTTCACAATTGTAAAATACCAAGTTGATTGAAAACAAGAAGACAATGATGGCAGTCGAATGCAGTTAAAATACAAATGTGAAAATAAAACAAACATCTAAGTACAGATAAAGAGCTTATTTTTGAGTAATACGAATAAGTTATCGGAAGAAACTTATCAGGTTGTCTTAGAGACGCTTCAAGCCTCCACATTCAAAACTCCTACAAAAGAGTTTCCAGACAAGTGTTTCAAAAATAACGTTAAAACGAATTTATTTCTGAATATGTAAAATGGGATATAAAAAGGAACTTGCGGAATATTTAAGTAATTATTGTAAAAGTTTCATGCGCCTACATGGATCTCATTTATAAAAATGAAAATTAAAGACAAGAAAATGCGAAGCAAACTTTAATTCGTTAGGAAAGTTACGTAAATTGCTACTACATTGCAATCGCCAGTTTAATCTCAAGATAGCTCCTTTTACAACGTGAATCGAAATTGCGCAATTCCGTGGCAATTTTTGAAATTATAAAGAAATTTCTGAAATTTCTGAATCGTATTGAATCGTTTCGCGTTCCCATATACAGTGCCAAAGAGTTTATCTGAATGTAGGAAATGGTTCATTAACTCATTGAATGTTTTTAAGTTTAATGACATTAGTTCGGATAATAAACTAATCTGTCCACTCCGATGGTACAATAACTGCCCAATACACAAAACCCACCCTAGGATTAATGTCGACATATGACGTATTAAAGGTTCATCGTCCAACTCTATGGAAACTATCAGATGTTTAAAGATTACATATCATATTTTCATATCACGATGTACCTATCAGATGTTTAAAATATTATGTTACTGAATAATGTTCTATGCGTTAACCACTGCCGTCCTTATCGGTATAGCAGTTAATATTGCTGCCTCCGGTACTGTTGGGCCTGGGTTCAAATTCCAGAGAAGACTTGGTCGCTTCTAAATGGAATGTGTCTTTGCGGCATGGGAACACTTATAATGACGGCAAGCGGGAAGTCGTATCGAATGGTTTGATGTTAGGGAATAAGAACAGCGCAGACCCTTCGACCCTGCCTGAAGTGGGGAACTTCAGAACTGGGCAAAGTCGTACTATTACCAATAAGGTGCCCAAGACCTATGCCAACGATAGACGCATTTCTGCGTTCCACACCGATAAAATTCGTGGACGTGTCATGAAGTTACAGTTAGACAAATGAAATAAAAACAAAACAGTAACAGCAAAAGGAAGCCCCAAAGTTAGAAATAAATAGTGATCACAAAATCAGCCATGCGTTTATCAATGTGCTTCCGTCAAAGGTAACTAACTATACATAACTACAACTACAGTTCTAACCTTACTTGAAGATTATCACAACTTTTAGATGGTTGTCTTCATAGTACTGTGTAACAATTGAAATTTCATATTTTATTTTGTAAATTTATGCTTATTTTGATGACTTTTTGGCCATATGCTAAACTGTAGCTTTTAACTTGTTTTCTAAATTTTATCCAGAAAATGTGTATTTATGATTTATAATTAACTAGCCACTACGCGGCCAGCCTTCGTCTGGCTTTTAAATGTACCACCTGAAAATGCCTAAAACGGAAACACCAAACATTAAATTCAAAAACTGCACAGAATTTTGCATAACAACTTACACACAAAAAAAAAATCAATAAATATGTGTAACATATTAAAAAAATTACAATGAAATAAGCAATATCCCTTAATACAAATATTAATTATCCTAATAAATAAATTAACCAACTTCCCGTTGCAAAATCTCAATTATTCAAATGGTATAAACGCAGCTAAGAACTTTATTTCCTGAACAAAATCCAGAAATTTTTCGTTTTAAGCTCTCTTGTCTTTATTCTAGATAAATACTCATTAAATTTACTTTTATACCAGCTACAGAAACTTTGAAAATTCATAAAAGTTTGTTTTTCATATAAACACATTCCGCACAAGTTATAAGCATTAAAATTAACATTTCTTTATTACTTAAAATAACACAGCTTCATTACATTAAAATTTGAATTTTAGTACAAAATTGTTGACATTTTTGCGTCTTAATAAGGAAGAAAGCCTAGTTTAAACACATAGAAGAGGTTTATAATAGTAAAAACTATTAGTAAAATCTTAGTAAAATCAGTAAAACACACACTAATTTGAATTTGTAACACTTGAAATACATATAATGAGCCAAGAAGACTTTGTCCAGCAACATATTAAGGTTACGCCTCTTTTTTATATTACACACAAATTAATAAGCTAACGCAACTTTTTATCCACTGTATATTTTGATCAAAATACGGTCTACTTGCAGTGTTGTAGTAGAAGCTAGTATCACTTTGAGGATGATTTTTTTTTATATGATGGCGGATTCTTACCTATTCGACAGTGGTCACTCCTAAAGCCACTTTATTGTGAAGGTACCTAATGGGTACTCACCCGTTGCCTCCTATGAAGAGGATGGACAGTTACAACCATGCATTCCGAGAATCGAACAGGGGCCCTTTGGTATCGCAGTCGACTCCCCTAACCACTATACCGTCTAGGCAGCGTATCACTTTGAGTTGCCACTTTAAATATCTTAATCCAACCAAATATTCGTAATATCCACCGAGACAAAAAATAAAGCAAATTTAAATATGGTTCTTATGTACACGTCATATCTAAAATTCAGACATTTATCACCTGTGTCAGTCTAATAGAAACGATTGAGAATTTTTGGCATAAATGTTATCAACTGTATTATCCTATTTTACATGAAGCCCTTAAAACATTTATAAGTGAGCAATAACTTTGACCTTGCTCACTTAACAACATGACGAAAGCTGGCATGCATTTCATTTCTTGGACTTGTTCTAAGTATAATGAATGCTCGTACCTTTAAAAGTACAACATTAGAATATAAGTTATTGGGACAAATAATGTTACTGGTTAAAAAATACTTGGCTGGGTGGAAGTTCTTATGACAAAGATGGTAAACCTTTTGAGCTCAGCCAGTTAAAATTCAGAAAACCGCTAGCTTAGCTTTAATCCCGTGTCAGATATAGTTATTCGTCTTCCATTCACGTCATTCGTCTGCAGGCCCACCAGCGGCCGAGGGGTAAAGTCGCTGAACACTGGTAGTTCGGTCCGAGGTTCGAATCCCGCGAACGGGCTGGCTGCATGGGCGTTTTCGTGGTTTTCCCATGTGTAACGGTATACGAGCCAGTTTCCCTTAGAAAGTCCTCCACGAAGGCATCCCTCCCCTTAGGCAGATAGCCCTAGTGTGCTTTGCCATAATTAAATACACACACACACTCATTCGTCTGCAAGAATGCAAGTGAAACGCTCCCGAGGTATAAGGACAGCATATGTTGACACTGACGAGATTATTGCAAGAGACAAATATGTTTTTATTATACAATATTATACCTCAGTCCAAAGCTCTAGAAATACATGACACGTTTCACCCAAAATGAGTTCACGAGCTCATAGGTTCGCCATCACTGGTTTATGACATTTGAGATAACGCAGTTCCTCGAATTTAGACAGATTCATTAGAAACATGTAAAATTCACACACGAAAGAGACTTCTGTGGAAATCCATTTCAATTAAAATTCTGTTTGCAAGTAAATCGTATAAATATTTTATTTAATTGTGCAGAGTGCTTCGCAGGGTACAGAAAAAAGTAAACATTGAATAAGTTGAACGGAAAAAGATTTTTATTTCAAATTTTCAGGATTTATATATGAGAATAAAGGAAATTAAAAGATGAGTTTCTGAAAATTTTTACCATTTGAGAAGACAACTACTGTAAGGATTATGTGTTAATTTTATTAACAGTTAACTTTTAAGTTAAAGTTCCTTTCCTGTCAAATTCTTAACTTCAACTTACTACTTCCGGCCAGAACGTACTTTTGGAATCTTGCTGAATATTTAATGAGGAGGAACGGTATTTAAACCACGAAGTTACTGAGTGAGAGAGAATCAGAGTTTCTGATTTGCGCGCGTCTGCCTTTTTGGCCACTCTCTCTCTCAAAGCTGTTATTACGCTCGGCCGTACTCAGGCCCTTGCTAAGCTTTGTAGTGAAATAAGTTAAGGGGCCAACTCAAATTGAACCTTGATAGCTTCGGCTGTACTTCTTTAGTTAATCTTAGTTTTAGTTTGATTCTTAGTCTTTTTAGTTCAAGTCCAAGTGCACACTCCCAGGCGGAGTTGTGTTACATCTTTTTGGAATAATAAAGGGTTAGTTACCCTTCTATCTTGTTGTTTCTTGTCACCGAACGCGAACGATTATTCGCTTATCAGTTCTTAGATTCCTCACTTTCAACATTATTTTAGAATTCCAAAGTGACGTACTCTGCAAGTGTTAATGAAGTTCCTGCTCGATATTCGGATAACCTGCTTGAGTTAATCCTTTCGAATCGACCTTATCACACTTATTATCGCTGTTTTTAGCACTTCTGTAATTCTTGGGTAATCACTGCACACTTTATTTAACATAGCCTTGGTGTGGTGTGGTGGTGTATTTAATTATGGCAAAGAACACTAGGGCTATCTGCTTAAGAGGAGGGATGCCTTTCGTGGAGGACTTTCTAAGGGAAACTGGCTCGTATACACGTTACACATGGGGAAAACCACGAAAACACCCATGCAGCCAGCCCGTTCGCGGGATTCGAACCTAGGACACCAGTGTTCAGCGACTTTACCGCTCGGCCGCTGGTGGGCCTAACATAGCCTTGTAAAAGAAGTATAGCGGTGATAAATCAGGACGGCAGCGAGTCCAAGAACGTTCATCGCTAAAGTCATTCGGAATGCCTCTTGAAGTGACATGATTATCGTAGTGACGTCTGAGAAATTTTCATGATGTCTCCGGTTGGATGTGGAAAGGGTACATCCTACCAAACCATGTGTAAACACATGTCTGGAATCCAGTGCTAATGGTAGATATCAGGAAAGAACTTCGCTTTCAAGAAATCTAGATAACATCCAGAATTTATAATCTGGACAAAAAGATACAGACCCAAAATGAAATCAGCATTTCATGGATGAACAGGCAATGGACATGGATGACAATGATGTTGTGTAGTAAAATTAGGGATTTTACGAATTAAATAATTTCTTATTCGGTTGAATTAATTAGATATTAAGTTAAATTTTTTGGGTCTCTAGAAAGAAGCATTTATTCGTGAATATTTATTTTAAGGACACTATTCTTTATATTTTTTCAGTTAATTTGCAATATGTTGGGATACAGTCTGTGAACCAGAGCCTCAAGTAAAACTTATATAAAAATATAAGTGAAAGAGAAGTATCCAACGAATTGTAATGGATTAATTGTGAAATGTTAAGTTTGATTTAAGGTGATAATGTAAAACAACAAGGTCTCCTGCTATTCGTTTCCTTTTCGCCATTTCGTTCTCCTGTTTTCTTTCGTTCAGGGAATGTTCCACATGATTCTAGAATCTGTGTCTTTTGTTCAGGGTTTAGCTGAAGGCAGATGTACGTAATTAGTTTTTCTTGTAAAGAGGTAGTTTAATGGAAAAGGTTGAGAGGAGGTCAAGCTCTTGTGAGCCGGTTTCTGGGCGAATCGGCGAATTTTTTTAGGCAGCGGACCTGCTCAGTAG